GGATCCATTTCAGGAGAGGAACATTGAACTTAGAGACCCTTCGCCCTACAAGGAGCCATTATCTGTGTTATAATGTAAGGGAATCCAACATGCCCTTTGCTCTGGAGGGAGACATCATCTCTGTCTCTCAAGGCTTTCTGCTGTACAAACATCCCTGAAAAGATAACATCCTTGGAAAGGGAGCCCGTCTTTCTTGTATACACAGAAACACAATACACTCACAGAGAACTGTCTCAAGCAGTGACCTGTTAACAGAATCAGGAAATCAATTTGGAGGGTTTTAAAACATACAAGGGACATTCATTGTAGTAAGAGTAAGCATTTAAAATATTCAATGAAGCTTTTGTTTGCTATTTATACAAATTAAGCTTAAAAAAATCATTTTCATTGGCAAAAAGTTTGGGAAACATTGACTATGGTATAAAGACTATATTGAGTTCTTACTTTTGAGATGCCAACTTGACTTGCATTCTATTCAAATCTATGTAATAGCAATATGTATTATGTTGGGGGCTCTCCTGCATTGTAAGTCATGAGCATAATTCCATAAAGCATATATTTTAATCTTATCTTTTAAAAGCTAAATTGAATTTTAAAAAGATAATTTTACCTCAGGTTTCAGGTAGTGAACAAAATATGTAACCCAAATTCTTATCAACCAGAAAATTTTTTTTAAATGTGGGAAAATTGACCTCACTGACTGAATTACAGCTTTGCCAAGCACAGAATTTAATGAAGAGCATGCACAAAAATTAATAAATTGACATCTTAATAGATCCAAAGCAAATGCATATTCATTTTATACATACACACAATTTCATGAAAATAGTTTTTAATAAAGTTTTTAAATAGTTTTAAAGTTTTTAAAAGCCCAGTTTCATAAATATTTACTGAGTTATTTCTATATGCAAAGGATCTGAGTTAGATCAAAGGATATAACAATATGAAAAATACTTATCTGGCTTCATGTGCATGTGGATTAGAGTGATTAATTTCAAAGGGTTGAAAATATATCTGGTTTTCTTTTGTATATACCTACAACACTATCTTTATTTAATAAGAATTAATTGCTAGTATTGCTAAGATCAGGGTCATAATAGAATGCTGTAATGGCAACACAATTATTTTACATTAATTGAAAAAGTTACCTGTTTAAATTTATTGTATTTCTAAATCCTGTAGGAAAACAATTTTAACAATGGATGTAGATTGTTTTAGAAACAGACTGTTCACATCTTAACACATGAAAGTCACTGTTTCAGAATTAGATGGTAATATATGCCAAAGAGAGAACTTCAATGGCAGAACCAAATACTATATCACTGCATCTATTAAAAAACAGAATCAGTATTTCAGTAAGATAAAATCACTTAAAGGAATAAGATACAAATAGTATTCTTCTTGGAAGTTCTATAGTTTAAGCATGAAAAAAATGCCATCAATTTATTCTTTTGTTTTCTTTTTCCAAAACATATTAGAACCACCTTTAATGAGGGTTCAATTAGCCTCAACCTTTCACTGACAACCTTTCATTGTCTTCCTACAATGTAATGTTTAAAGGAAAACAAAAAATACAATGCATCTGACAGAAGTTTTTTTTTTTCTTTTTATGGTCCCAGGGATCGAACCCAGGGGCACTTTACCACTGAGCTACATCACCAACCCTTTTTATTTATTTATTTTTTATTTCGAGATGTGGACTTGCTAAGTTGCTTAGGGCCTTGCTAAGTTGCTAAGGCTGGCTTTGGACTTGTGATTCTCCTGCCTCAACCTCCCAAGCTGCTGGAATTACAGGTGTGAGCCACCAGGCCTGGCCCAGAAGTTAATTTTAAAAAAGTTTTTTCCAGGGTAAATTTTGGAGTCAGAAGTGATTTAGACAAACCAAAATGCCCTTTAAGATGCTAATAATAGTCTATAAATAGGTATTTTTTAAATTTTACATATAATGGAAACTCTAAGGAAAGGTGACATTTATAGGAAAGGCAGCAATATATAGACATTTAGAAGAGGTCCTTTGATGTAATCAAGACTGGGGCCAGTCAATTGAGATAACTCAAAATGGGAAACTACAGAAAAAACTAGAGATCTTAAACATTTGAACTTTAAAGATGTCAATATATATTCCTGTCTACATTTTATATAAGGCATTGCCTAATCTTGGAGTATAAACACTAATTGCAGTTTCAAGTTGTCTTTTTTGTATCAAGCATAAGTATGTAATGCGTCCTTTAAGATGACCCATTTTGCATTCTTTAAAGTGAATTGAAAGGTTGAAGATTCTCAAGAAACAATGTAATTTCAGCATCTGTTACAATTTTTATGATTCCTTTCCTCCCAATCAACCACACTTTTTGCTCCAATTCCTTCAGCAAGTTATTTGAAGCTTTCAGCTTCATATTTATTTTGAATATTTTATTATGCTCCATGTGTTATTTAATATGCATTTATAATAATAACCCCATGGCAAATGGGATTGGAAATACACAAAACTGATTCTTGAGAGTCATATAAAGCTCAGTTTGTAGGAGTGCTTCAGTAGTAGGGACATTACTAGATGTGAGACCAGAGACTCTCTGAATACCAGTGAGTGGCTTCATAAAAATGTGAAGAGCATGGGTCCGGCAAGTCAGGTAAGCAGAAGTACATTAGAGAAGTTTCTATTAAATGTCAATTCTTCTTGCTACTAGGATTCATATACAGAAAATATTTGGTAATATTCATCTTCCTCAACACACAAGAAAAAATTTCTTTAAAATAAAAACAGTTTGTCTCAAGATCACAAACATATTAATTTAATTTTTCACACTTCTCATTCTAAAAGAGTATATGTTGTCCAATAAAATTCCTGTGAAGATTTTTTTTTTTAAGTTACTGGGGATTAGACCAGGAAGTTGGAGTATTACCCTGAGTTATAGCCTCAACCCTTTTATTTTTTTTGAGATAGGGTCTTGATAAGTTGCCCAGGCTGATCTCAAACTTATGATCCTCCTGCCTCAGTCTCCTATGTAGCAGGGATTACAGACCTATGCTATTGTATCCAGCTCCTATGAGGATTATAAAACAGTATCTGGGCTTGGGTTGTAGCTCACTGGTGGAATCTTGCCTAGCATGTTCAAGGCTGAAAGCCCTCAGTTTGATCTCTAGCCCCACAAAAAATGAATAAATAAAAATCTAAATGTAATTAGTTAAATACTTTATTCTTGATATAGTTTCTCTTAATAATTAAATGTTATATCCCCAATATTTATTGCTTATTATCAATTATCACCAGAGAACTACAGTACCTCTTAGAGCTAAGATCTTTAAAAGCACTTTTTAAAAAAAAAAATATATATGCTTTAGCACTTTTTCTCTCAAGTGTTGGACCACTATCCTGCAGCAGAAAATGTGCCCAAACTTGTATAATCTCCCTCAGTGGTCTGAGGGAGATTATGATATTAAGCATAATGCTGCAGTGAATGTTGCCTTAAGTTCTTTTCCAATATCTTTGGAAAACATTGTTTAGACAATCCTTGGGCAGATTTCCCAGTGATACTTTTAGTACTCTCATGACCACTACTCAACTCACTTGTTTTGTTGATCTCGTAGTGTAGTTTTGAGGTGGTTCTGCTGAACTCAATCATTTATATCTCAACTTTGATCTTTATCTTCATCCCTGGGATGGGTATCCATAATTACTCTGTGATCTTTACTTTCAGATTTCTTTGAAAGCAATTTTGTTTAATTGTGCGGTGGGTCCCTTTCATTGATTCATATTTGTACTTTGTGCTATGCTCACTTTTAAATTAGTTACAGATAGATGGCAGGAAAATCAAGCAATTACTAATCAGTGTCTATTGTATCTGTATAACCATATGCAAACTCTAGAGAAGCCCTGACCTCTAAGGAAGCAGTACAGGTCAGGTTCTCCAATACTTGCTTAACAATGGATGTGTCAGAAGGTCGTACACTAGCAGTTTTTAAAGTGTTTAATATTAAAACCAATGCCTTTTACTACGAACAGTAAAATGGGCTGCATTTTAAGTTGATTTAATAAAAATATTCTATCATTTAAGAGGGATACTGTACATTTAATATGCACATTAAAGATTAAATATAAACTTACTAATATTTATTTTAATACTAAAATTTAATAAGTATCCACTATTTTTATTGCTAAGAATAATAGCTTGGTAGAGGCAGTTATTTCTGTTCAATTCGTCTCTATAGTACACCTGGAGGATCTTCATTGACTCAAAGATTATGTATCCTAGATCCACTGACATCTTCTAACAACCTTTAAATCAAGTGCACCTTGTCAATCAACTGCTCCCTGTTATCAACCTCTGGGAGGGCTGCAGAGCTAAAGTATACCTGGAAGCCAGAGAAACCTCTTGTGTATTCCTTCATTCTGAAAGCCCCAGATCAAGGTATATTTTTCAGCTTCTTAAATAATGATTTATTCTGGCTGGTGATGGCAAAGGAAAACTCTACACATTACATACAGAACGTTCAGATCACAAGGAGGCCTGCAGAATAAAGGGCCAAGTAAAATTCCTCCCCCCACCGCCCGCCCAGTCCCTGGAAGATCCTTGCAGATTCTATTTCAAGCTACAGACTGTGTCCACACACGCACCGGCCAAAAAGGCTCACAAAGGTCTGTTTTGAAATGGCTTGTCGTTTTTTCCTCCCTTCCTCAAAAACCCGGCAGCGATGGGAAGATTACATGTCAGTGTGGCTTTACTGCGGCCATAGTTAGTGGCACAAAGAGAGATTTCACTTAAATATCCTTTCGGTTCTCAGCACCCTTTCCTGCATAGAAAGCAGCTTTCCGCCTCCTGGAGTTTTTCGAAAACCCAAACACCACCAGAGCCATAAAGGAGGCCCATTCTAGAGCCTTTTGGCGCGAGAGCCGACCCCCTGCCTGGAGGGAGGGGCCTTCCTCGCCCCGCCCCTCGCCCCCGCCCCTCCTCCCGCCTCCCGCGTAACCCGGATACACACCCACGCTCCCCTTTCACCTATCGGCGGCTGGCGAACGTGGAAGTCCGACCTGTGGGCCGGTAGAGGTTCCGGGAAAGTGGGGCGCGTGGGGCGGACACCGTGATCTTCACGGCGCGGCTCAGCCTTTCGGGGAAGGGAGTGATGGGGCGCGCGGGCGCCGGGGAGCGGGCGCCGGTGTAGCCCGAGCGGCCCCTGCCCCGGAGCACGGCGGCGGCGGGAGCGGGGAGGCCTGTAAAGGCCGCCGCCCCAAGCGCCCGGCCTCCCGCGCCATGGCCCCCATGGGCATCCGCTTGTCCCCGCTGGGGGTGGCAGTGTTCTGCCTGCTGGGGCTCGGCGTGCTCTACCACCTCTATTCCGGCTTCCTGGCCGGCCGCTTCAGCCTCTTTGGCCTCGGTGGCGAGCTGGGCGGCGGCGCGGCGGGGCCCGCAGCCGTGGCCGATGCGGGCACGGTGGACTTGCGCGAGATGCTGGCAGTGTCCGTGCTGGCGGCAGTCCGCGGCGGCGACGAGGTGAGGCGCGTCCGTGAGAGCAACGTCCTCCATGAGAAGTCCAAGGGGAAGACACGCGAGGGAGCAGAGGACAAGATGACCAGCGGCGACGTGCTCTCCAACCGCAAGATGTTCTACTTGCTCAAGACTGCCTTCCCCAGCGTGCAGGTCCGTACCTGGAACGCTGGGCTCGGTGGGAGCCCATGGGCGGCAGGGCCACTCTGGCCAGGGAGCCTGGGATCCTGGAAACGTTTTGTAGCGTGTGGACTCCCAACAGTCCCAGGTCGTGGGAGCTCCTGATTTCCATTTTGCAGATGCGAAAATTGAGAGGCAGAAGTTAAGGTGCACAAGGTCATGCAAACAGTTCTTGGAAAAGCTGGGTAAGGTTCCAGGCAGTTTAACTCAGAACCCATGCCCTCTGGTCCTTCCCTGGATTGTGTGGTGAAGTGTACCAGGGATCAGGAGACTTGGGTTCTGAGAAGGCTCTGATACAAAAAGGCTGAGAAGGTAAATAACACTGATGCTTCAGGTTCTTCTGTAACATAAAAGAATTGGACTAGAATCCCTCAAACCCCTATTCACACTTGATTTCATTATTGGAAGGGTCATGACTGTAGATTACACGTTTTCTGGCCTGCAGGCCAGTAGCCAACTAAAATTCAAAAACTATAAAAGTCTGCTGCAGACCTGTTAGTTCCGCAGGGCGTGAAGGGGCAGGGCATGGTCCTAAATGACGTGGCTTCCCCCCCCCCCCCCCCAGGATCTCTTAATGGCTAGTAGTTTAGAGGCCCTTCAAGGAAGTATTTGGAAATACGCTTCCAGGCAACTTCATTTTAGCTCTGTAGCTCTGTATCCTACCTGACACTTGATTAAAGATCTCTAATTATGCCAGAAAATTTAGAATTGAATACCATTTACCTTGTCTTCAGGTAGGTTTCTGAAGGAGTTGACATTTTCTTCAGGAAATCCAGTCATTCTGGATTTGTTACTAATACTTTTGGAATTCATCAGTTCAGAGGAGCTGTTGAGTTGAATATACTGTAAAACTTTTTTGAATTTATTGTAGTTCCAGAAGAACTGAATGTAGTGTAGCAATATTTTTTAAATGTATGCCTCATTTAACAGTTGACTTTGATTACTAGGAAGAAAAAAATATTTCCAGTGAAGTTTGATTAGATAAAACAGTTGTAATTAAACCTAGGCTGTCTTGGAAGGTATCTAAACTTTTGCTGTTGTTCTTGAGATAGTTAAGAATATTGCCATTGTAGAGTTATGTATCTTATGTAACTCCTTCCACGGTGTCATATTTGTGCGTTGATTTTCTTTATCCTCTCTTTCTCCTATCTCTCTTCCTTTCTTTTTCTTTCATTTTTTCCCCACATGAAACATTGGATTTCATGTTATGAATTGCTGGATACCAGATATAAAAGAGACATTAGTAGAATTTTTTTTCAAATGTCTACTAAAACAAAATAATGCATTTTCCCACTTTTTCTTTTGCCCTATTCTGCTTTATCATCATATATAATACTTACTTTGTTTGGATTTAGATGTACGATGTGCTTGGGAAATATCTGTCTTCTCTAAAACATCTGTGCTTCTCTAAAACAGGATTTTCAGAGAAGTTGATATATGATAGTTATAACATTACTAACAATAACCACTTACTCAATGTATTCCAGGTGCCTAGATACTGACCACACAGGAGGACTTCATTTGGTTCTCACAGCAACTTTGAAAAATAAATTTTTTTATGCCCACTTTACAAGATGGGAAATTTGAGGCTTATGACACTCCATTCCACAGCCTACATGAACTGTCTTAATTCTTCATTGTAGCCAGACATCTAAGAGGCTACTTAAAACTTAGTGTGACTTCCTGAGGGGAAAAAAAAAAAGTACAACTATAGAAGCTTTAAGGCGGCAATAGTAAAATATAAGCAAACACAGTTGAAAATTTTTTAAAAAGATAAGTTAAAAGTGTTTTAAATATTGAAAACATACATCTATATGTGTGTGTTTGGGTTTACTCATGTTATCACTTATTAACAAAAAATAGAATAGCTGCTAAAGGCAGTGAGTGGCATAAACACAAAAACTAAGCTTTTTGATTTGAAAATGTTAAAGTCTCTGCCTTAGAAAGTAACTTTTTGTCTTTTTGTGACTATTTGAATGTTTGCCTGTACATCTTTAGGGTTCATGTTGTGTGTCGACTGGAGGAATAGAGGAGGTTGTGTTCATTTATACAGCGTCAAAGTAGGGATTGTGTCATGTTGAGCCATCTCCTTTTCCCCCTGTTTTCTTAGTCTAGAGGCCAAATGTTCTATCCATGTAAAAAATAAACTCAGCACTGGCATTTTTTTTCCACTCTTGTCTCTCCCCTCCCCCATTATCCCAAAGCAGTCTTAAATACCAACCAGTTTTAAATGACTGGTTGGTATTAAAGTCTCACCTCAAATTTTTTTGGTAAAAAACTTAGATCACATTCCTTTTCAGTTTACTTCCTGATGGAAAATGACCATGGAAAAGCCACAAGTACTCTTTTTTTTTTTTTTAAATCCTGGTGGATTAGGGAGGCATAGTGGTATATGCCTGTAATTCCAGCACCTTGGAACGTTGAAGTAGAAGGATAGAAAGTTCAAAGCCAACCTAAGCAACTTAGCAAGACCCTATTTTTGTTGTTGTTTTTTAAGAATTAAAAAGACTGTCAATATGGCTCAGTGTTAAGTGTCCTTGGGTTGAGACCTGAACTTGCCTATGTAAGGATCCCTCCTCAGTAAAAGAATATCAGGAGTTATTCTAGAGTGCTCAACTTGGCATGTTTATCTTTCAAGGGACATTTGGCAACGTCTGGAGATACTTTGGTTTTTCACAACCAGGGTGGAATACTACTGGCATTAGATGAGTAGAGGGTAAATATCCAAAGGTGCTCAAGACAGTCCTGCATAACAAAGAATTATCTTGCCCAATTTATCAGTTGATGCCCAAGTTGACAGATCATATTCCACAGACATGTGCTGTCTCAGCAAACTCAAGTTTGGCCCAGGATTGCTAAATTTCCTTTTGTCTTCAGTCTTTCTCAAGTTGACCTATAGGATGGGAGTTAAACGGGTCTCTTTCAACAGAAATACTCCCTGAAAAAGTCAGAAGTGCTCAGAGAACACTTGCTTTGCTATCATGTCTAGCCACTAGAACAGGTGATCTTATCTAGTCATATAGCTTTTGGGGGCCATAGTTTCCTCTTCTGTAATATCAAAATAACTAGTAATTGATACAGATATAGGTACTACAGGCAAAGAAAACTAGTTCAAATTATCAAGCCCAATAGGTTTTAGTGCTACAAATTCAGTTAATCTGATGAGTTTGATGCATGTTAGGTAGATCATATTCTAGACTCAAAGGAGTTTAGACCACATCTTTAGTATTATAGTACTAAAAGAAGACCTCCTATTCTTATGGCTTACAATATGCTATCCTGGGGGCCTTGGGTATTTGGAGGTGAATGAGCCTAGTTATAAGACTGTTAGTATAGAGTGTCCGAGAGATGAAAAGCCCAGAGTTAAGCCAATGGAAAAGTTATGCTACCTAAAATTTATTTAGCCTTTAGCAAATAGCAAGCCCTTAATTAAACATTTTAGTGTCATAATTAATTTATCTGCAGAACAACATAGGAAGTTAAGTAGTGTTGCATCCTTCTGTACCTAAAGATATTGGGGTTTGGAGAAGCTAAATAATTGGCCAAAGATTGCCCAGCTAGAAAATAATCTTGGGTTTATTGAGGTTAATAAAATAGTCTGAGAATCAGTTCAGGTCTTTCAGAGTCATGAGCATAAGCAGTATTGGGGGTGGTGGTAACAAAAGTGTACTCTTAACTGCAATGTTTTGAATGAATGGAAAGACTCAGATTAGATACTTGGAGAATAGTTTGGAGGGAAGTGAAAGGAGGACAGAGAGGTTTATTTTAGTCTTTTTATGGTAAAGAGATGATATGTTTTGAATTGGGTTGTGGTTGTAGAGAAGGTAAATATAAAATGATGTGAAAGAATTTTTAAGGGTATATTAAAAATGACTCCTGTAGTTTTCACAATTGATGTTCTGTTGATGGTAAAAAGAGGAGCATATTCTGAGTGCCATTTCAGATTGGTCTTAGAGGTTTAATTAGAGGTGCCTTTGATGTGCCAAGGGAGATGCTAAGGAGGCAGTTGCCTTTATGAGTCTGAAGATTGTCTTGGGGTCCTACTCTAGTCGTTGTATTCAGGGAAGGCCACTTTGAGCTGGTATCATTTGAACTGAGAAAGAGTATAGCAAGTGCAAAGAACGGACCATAAGAAGACTAGTAAGTCTGGAGTGTTCTAAATAGAGTGAAAGGAGAGAGATACTGTGTAGTGATTGCTATAGTCAGATCATGTAGGAGTTTGTAGATGGTGGTAAGGAATTTGGATTTTATCTCTGCATTATGAGAACCATTAGAAGATTTTTAACTGGGAGTGGCATGATCTGATTTGGGAAGATAGCAAATTGCTTGGTTGAGAAGGGAAGCTCTGTAATGGTAGTGATTTTGGTTTTTTCATTGTATTTTAATGCTCAGAACACTTTAAAATATATTAGTCATTAAATAGTTGTTGAATGAGTGAATGATGAATGAGTACACTCACTATAGGAGGCAAGAATAATTGAACAGTATAACAGAAATCCAAGGAAAAGATCCTAGTGGCTTAAACTAGCATTTTCTTGGTAGACATGATGATGCATTCTTAGAATTGGGAGGCAATATTTTCAGGACTAACTGCTCAAATGTGGAATGTGAAAGAGGATTAAGGAAGACTTCCATATTTTGACCTTAGCAACTGTTTATAAGGTCATTTATAATGATGGGTAGTGGATTTATTAAATTGGAGGCATGTAGTGGTACTGCGTGTTGTTAGAAGCAGTTGTGCAAAAACAGATTGGGTAATTATGCTCACAACTTGTTTTCTCGCTACAGTTGTTAATCCCTAACTTAATTCTCAATGAGATCACTTCAAATAAAGTTTGTTAATATATTAACTCATATTCAGTTTAGTATATATGGAGAAGCTGACTTAAATTCTAGATAGAAATCTTACTCATAAATCATAAAGCTCAATAGATGCTAGTCAGACTTGCCATTTTTGTAAACTACAGTGGTCAAGACCTGTGACCTGCTCTAACTAGGAGTTTGTTTGTTTGTTTATTATAAGTTTATTCCTTTTCTTGTGATGTTATTGCTGCATTCATTCACCTAGCCTAGCATCATTATTAAGACCATGGGGTCTGAAGCAAAATGCTTTACCAGTGCTACACTGTCTTAATTATTCCATCATAAAGTAAGTCTTGATGGCTGGTAGGGAAAGTCACAATACTGTGCTATTCTTTTGTTTTTCCCTCTCTTTAGAACATGACTTTTCCTGGCTTTTTTTTCTCTGCCAGGTAAATTTCAGATATGGCTTGTCCGATTTTGAAGAAGTTAAAATCCTATAGGGATTTTGTTTGGAGTTGCATTAAATCCATAGTTTACTGATGGGAGATTGACATCTTTACTGTTTTTTAAAAGTCTTTCTATTCATCAAAATGGGATTCCTCTTTATATACATACTTTATTTCTGTTATTAGTTTAAATGGCTTTCTTTTTTTGATTAAATATTTATTTCTAATATAGCTAAGGGCAGTTTATGGTATGTCTTACCACCTAGCAACTTTCTATATTCTGTTATTATTCCTATAGTTTATCTTCAAGTTCTTTTGTATTTTCTCAGTGCTCAGTCATAACAAAATTCATTATGGTTTTGTTTCTTCCTTTCTCTTATCCCCTTTATCTTAACTGTTATTTGGGACCCTCTGAACATTGTTAATAGAGGTTATGGTGGAAGGCAGCTGACTTGGTTGTGGTCTGCAACATCTTGAACCATCTGGCTTCCATTACTTTCTGACCTCATGTCCGTCCGGTGCCTTTCTCCTTGACTGACTCTGCCCTAACCATGCTTGCCTACTTGCTGTCCCGGAAACATGCCAGACATACTCCAGTCTTAGGGTCTTTGTATTTGTTATTCCTTGATCTGGAATGCACTTTCCCTAGGTGTTTGCCAGGCTCCTTTTAGGTCTTCATTTAAATACTGCCTTTCCAATAAGGGCTTTCCTAGCTACTTTGTATTTTTTTTCCAAACAACTTTATTGCGACATAACTTACATATCATATAATTTGCCAATACAGTGTACAATCCATTAATTTTTAGTAGATTTGCCAAGTTGTGCAACTATCCTTATTAATCAGTTTTAGAACAATTTTACCATCCTAATGGTATACCTTTGCTCTTTTACTATTAATTCTTATTATCCAGGCAACTACTAATTTATTTCTATGTCTGCAGATGTGCCTATTCTGGACATTTTATATTAATGGAATCATATAGTATATGATCTTTTGCCTTTCACAAAGCAGGGGAGTTCATCTGTGCTCTAGCATGAATCAGTACCTCGTTCCCATTCATCCTCTTAATAGCTGAATACCTTTTTTTTTCTGAATATATCACAGTGTTTATCTATTAATCAATTGATAAATATGTTGCAGCTTCCAATTTTTGACATTTTTTGTGGGGGGTACCAGGGATTGAACCCAGGGATGCTTAACAACTGAACCACATCCCTAGCCCCTCGCCCCCATTTTTTTAAATTTAGAGACAGAGCCTCACTAAGTTGCTGAGGCTGGCTTTGAACTCAAAATCCTCCTGTCTCAGCTTCCCAAGCCACTGGGATTATCGGCATGTACTACCACACCAATTTTTGATTGTTATGAGTAATCCTAGACCCCTTCTACTGTCTAATAACATACCTCCTTTATTTGCTTTATTTTTTCCTCCTTTTCACTACCTAGCATACAACATGTTATAGTACATGTTTTGCTTATGTGTCTTGTATATTTCCATTAGAATCTGAGTTTTATTAGGACAGAGATTCTTGTCCCATCATCAATTACTGTTTTATCTCTAAGTACTAGAACTCTGTCTGGCATACAGATGGCAATCAATAAACTTTTGCTGGATTAATAAATATAGAAGTGAATGGATGAGTTGAATGTTAACTGTTCTGTACTAAGAAATACTTTATGATTTAAGTGGCTTGATGTTTCTGGAATATTGCTATTTTTAATCTCTTCTGTGATAGTTTGGAAACTTTCGAAGTCTTCCAGAAATCACTGAGAGTTGTAGGGCTTTTATCCCATTGGTGACTTTTTATTCATGTATTTTCTATGCTAAAATCACTCTGTCAGTGTAACAAGGGATCTAGGTTGACATCATGGCAATATAAACATGATGACCTACTCTTTAAAAGGACCCAGCTTTCTGTCCTGCTCAAGATGGTAGTTCCTAATTAAAATCCATATTTGGGGGACATTTTTCTTGTGTGTATATATGATTTGATAGAAGAAAACTTCTGATTGAGCTAGTAATTCAAATAAGGCTAACAGTTTTTATTAACTTAATTCCTAAAATATAATTATTAGATTTGCTTAATTGATACAATTTTAATTTCCAAAAGTAAATGCAGTTCTAAAACATTTTTAAATAGTTTGTAAATGAGATTGTATTTAAATATGCATTAATAAGCTTACCATTTAAAGCAGTGCTTCTATATATAGTACAGGACACAGACATAATCTGGCAGTGCCTGGAAACAATTTTTGTTTTCAGAACTGAGGGATGGTGCTGCTAATATCTAGTGGATTCTGCTGGTGTTTAGCCAGAGATGCTATTAAACATCTTAAAATTCAAAAAATAGCCCCACAAAAAAGAATTATCCAGTCCAAGCTGTCAGTGGTACCAACATTGAGAAATCTCAGCTTTATAGAATCTAAAATGTATTCTTTTCTTAATAGAATACTTATATATCGTATTGCATATGTACAATGATTTATGAAAAATAGCTCCAAAGATATATATGTGCTTATATATACATATGTATACATATATGCGCACTCACACACAGCCTCACTCTACACCCTTACATATCTATATGGTAAGTCACATTTACTTTATGTTTTAACTTTGTTCCCTAATATATAAAAAGTTGAAAATCTTGACTTTACCTCTTTATCCTGTGTTGTACATTATTGATGTATAGCTTAAAGAAGACTGATGATTTTTGTGTCCCTTTTGATTCCCTATTTCAGCTAATTTAGGTTTTGTAATATACTAGTTTATTATGTGTTTCATAATTTCCAGGTTTCCTTTTCTTATAGGTTAAAGATATGTTTTAGATTATCACTTTTCTAGGACTTTTTATCTCTTAGCATTCACCATTCTCTATTTTTAAGGCATATTCTTTTTAACCACATTTCACTTTTCTCTCTCTTTGCCTCTAACTATAGTTGCTTGTGTTCATTGTTTCAGAATATTATCTGTTTTCATATTTTGAACTACTGGTTTTTATAAATCATTAAGCTGTAAGAAGCTATTTGTGTGATGTTTAGTTTCATGTTTGTGTACATTTGAGTTTTTTTATTTTGATTAACCTACAAGCTAAATTTTAATATTAGATTCTTGTGTTTCTTTAAATAATAATATTTTTCTCATTTTTTTAATTGTCAAATATTTTTGGTGCAGATAAATACTGAGGAACATGTGGATGCAAATGATAAGGAGGTTATCTTATGGGATCATAAGATTCCTGAGGATATTCTTAAGGAAATAACTACCCCAAAAGAGGTTCCTGCAGAAAGTGTTACTGTCTGGATTGACCCACTTGATGCTACACAAGAATACACAGGTGATTTTAAAATTGACCTCAAACTTTAGATTGTCATTTTATATTATAGAATCAGAATCAAGGCAGGTGATGTATAATATGGTGTTAGATATTTTGCAAATCCAATAACTAACAATTAGATTTTAAGATAAGAAAACTAGGTTAATGTAGCATTTATGATACATTTGTACTGAATTTTTAACCTTTTTATTTTTATTTACCCCAAATGCCATATTGTACCCACTAGCTGACATCTCACTCAGAATTAGTGACTCACTGATTCTGAACATTTTAAACAGTAGCAGCAAAATAATTTCTACTGAACACCTGTTATTGAAAAAAATTATTTAGCCAGAATATAATAGTTACTTAAGATATTTGGAATTTAGGTTTTATTGCATATAAATCTGACCTTGTAATTAAAAATAGTTAATCCTAGGTACCCAGAAAGCAAGTAAAAAGCAAAACTGAAATATGTGATCCTCCCTTCCACCCAGTTTTCCTTTTTCTTACCTCGTCCTAGCTCAGGTTTCATTGCTGTGGATCTTTTCTCAGGGCTTCTTACCTAGATATACTAATTTCTTCTTTTACTCTCTCTTCTTGGTATATATGTCAAAGTTAGTTATTTATCTTTTTGTCTTGGTAAATGGTAAGCTACCTGAATGTAGGGGTTTCTACTTTTTTACCTTTGTGTTCTAGTGCCTATGCAATAAACTTGAACCATAAGAGGCACTTAATAGATAACTCTTTGAAGAACAGGAAGAAGATGATAGATAGATATAAATAAATAAAATAACTGAAACTATAAAACAGTACTTTGCATGAGTACGTAATAGAAATTTGGAATATTGAGGAGTTTGTTTACAGTTTTTTCTAAACTGAACTGACCTGATAATATAATAATGATAACAAACAGTGAGCACATCTCTTGCACAGGGACTGTTTTTAAATGCCTAACTTGACTTTTAAATTAATCCTAAAATTAAGTTATTTAACTTTTAATTTATTTAAGTATATTTTAACTTTTTAAAAACTTAATTTATGCTGAAGATGGGTAATTATCATCTGTATTATGCAAATAAAAAAACTAAATTTAAGTAATTTTTCCCATGACATGCAGCTAATAAAATCATGGATTGCGAGATTAACCTAGGTAATCTGCTTTTAGAACTAGAATTCTTAACTGCTCTCTATAGTTGGCCTTCATCCCTGAACTCTTTTTGCATGAGGGGGTTATTATCTTTGAAAGACATTTCATGAACATAAATTTTTGATGAAATAAAGTGTAATCTTGTATCCTGAATTTATGCACAGTATTAAGACAATTGGTTGTGTGTTTTTTCTCACAGAGGATCTTCGAAAGTATGTCACTACTATGGTGTGTGTGGCTGTAAATGGCAAACCTGTGCTAGGAGTTATACATAAGCCATTTTCGGAATATACAGGTATGAAATATGCAAGAGCTTTCAAGAGTTAATGTAATCAGACTATGTATAGTAATGACTATACCATTCACATCTCATCTGTATCTCAGTAATTATTGAAATCTGCCCCCTATCCTAACATACCCCTTCATTAGATACCATGGGGGTTTTATGGTTAGCACTGATAATATTTAAAAACCATGGTTTTCTAAACTATCTTTAGTGGATGGACACTGTTGACTGTAAATGAGAGATTCTTAGTGGGTTGAGGGATCCCATTGGACATAGACTTCCCAACAGCTGTGGTGTCCTCTCTGTTTCTCTATTACTTTTGCTAGTGGTGAATCAGGACTTTTACATTGTAGATTCTGAGGTATACTGTATAGTTGCCTTACCCAAATCTGTTGACATATTGGGAGCTTGATATTGTGGTGGTTTAAGGGCAGTGCACCTCAGCATCCAGAATGAAGGAGTGTCACTCTGAGGTTATTAGGAGTTAGGCCAATACTTGAAGAGTTCTGGACATCTTCATAACTCCTTCAGACCTTTGTTTCCCCCTACTTCTTGATTCATGCTTTTAGCTTCATACAGATGGCAGGTTAGATCAGTGATGATTGTGTCAGGGTATGGCAGGCCTTGACAGGGAGCTTGACATTCAGCTAGGATTGACTTATCTATAGCCTTGCCATTGCCAGTGGATGCATAGATGATATTTTGGTATCACTGGAGACATTCCATTGTACTTATCCAGAGAGGCTAACTCTAGTCTTCTAGGTAACAGTAATGGTATAGACTGTGATTACAGTTGGAAGGGAAACACTTGGCATAAGCAGCATTACTAACAGCCTGAGGGGATTTGTCATTCTTTTAATTGGTAGATCCCATCAAATACATAGGGCAAAGAATATGGCTGTTTGGTTCCACCCTTCTTTAAGATGACAGGTTCTTAGTGATGATGATGTCCACTTTACCAGTACTGAAAACAGTCTTAATGATCAGGTATAGTGGACTACATAATGTCCTTTCCAAATTTATGTCTACCCCTGTACTAGTTTCCTAGGGTTGCTACAATTAAAAACCACCAACTCTGTGTTAAAACAACAGTAATGTTATCTCTCACTGTTATCTCAAAGTGTTGGTAAAGCCATTCTCTTCCTGATACCTATAAGGGGCAGTCTTTCCTTGTTTTTCTTTTAGCTACTGGTAGCTTACCAGTAATGCTTTTGATGTTCCTTAATGTGTAAACACATCATGCCAAATTCTGCCTCCATTATCACCTGGCATTCTCCCTTTGTGTCTGTTCTTTACCTTTTCTTGTAAGGATACCAGTCATATGGGATTAAGGGCCTACCCTATACCTCATTGATCTCATCTTAACTAATTTGTGTCAGTATTGACCCTCTTTCTAAAAGATTATTCAGTGCTGGGGTTCTGGCTTCCTCCTATCTCTTTGGAGGACACAGTTCCACCTATAACCACCTAAAAAGTTAAGTATCAAGATGAGATACTTAGGGTAGGATCTTAAACTATTGAGTGTCATTTCCTCCTAAGAAACAAAAAGGACACAGACATTATCTCGGATGACAGTGTGAAGGTGGAGACAGATTTCAGGGAAGCTTTGAACAAGCCAAGGCTTACCAGCAGCCAACAAAAGCTTAGAAAGAGTCATGGATTGGTTTCTCCCTTTAAGCCTCCAGAACTAACAATGCCAGCATCCTGATTTCAGACTTTGGGCCTTCAGAACTATGAGATGATAGATTTATTTTGCTGCAAGTCATTTAATTTGGGGTAATTTGTTAAGACGTCCCTAGAAAACTAATTCACTAAGTGTCCCATAGAGTAGTCATTTATTCCAGTGATTTCCAGTATGTCTTACTGTGTCACCACTGCACAAAAGGACTGCCAAATAGGGAGAAATAGGCAAATTTTTCATTAAAATTATTTATTTTCTTTGTCAAATAATTATGGATCCCAAATTCTAGCTGCTCTGAAACAGGCTAAACATACTTGCATTTCAAAATCTTGTCTGCTTTATGCCATCTGACCTTCATCTCTTTCATAATTCAGATAGTTCTTTAAATTCACAGTTTAAGATTAGTTTAAGATTATCTAATTGCTTTATGTTTTTTTTTTTATAGATGAGAAAATGGGCTTTACTTTCACGCCTTTACTGAGTTAGTTAAGATAAGTTAAACTGTTAATTTAGGCTGTTATCATGTACACAAAAATATAGGAGCTTGAACAAATAGTTTATTTCTGTTCTCTGACAGCTGGTACATAAACAGTCCAGGGCTGCCATGGCAGCTCCCAGATAGCAGGCACCAGGCCTATCCCTCTTGCTGCTTTGCTCCCCTAACACTTGTTGTTCTCAGCATGATTGAGGATGACTCACTACTTCATTGATATGCCATCAGAAGAGAGGGTGAAAATGGAGGTTATTTCTAACTGAGAGTTTTACCTATAGGTTTCATGCTTACTTCCCACATCCCACTCACAATGTTCATGTCCCATTGATCAAAAGCATAGTTAGAGCCATTTGCAAAAAAGGGCTAAGAATTATTGTCTTTATTTTCTGTGGCCAGCCACACTAATATCTAGGGATTCCATCCCTCAAGGATAATGGGGAAAGTGGATCTGAGTACAACATAGTAATACTCGACACTCAGTCTAGTATATAAGAGAGGGACACAATTACTTAAATTAGTACTCACACTTACAGATGAGAAAATAAGACTTTAAAATTCAGTGTATTCCTCAAGGTCATCCAGCTAAATTATTGGCAAAGTCTTGCAAATAATTCTGTTACAGTGCTTTCATAATAACAACCTCATAATTCTTAAAATTTATGTAGTGTTTACTGATTTGTAGGATATTTAATGTTATTTCATTTAAACTTTTTGATGTTTGTGTGATAAGGAATAATTTTGTTTTATTAACTTTTTTATTATAGATGAGAAAATGGGCTTTAGTATCTCCTGTCATGAAAACCATGTAGTTCAAAGTGTTCTTGTAATAGCTAACCATTTCTTATTAATATCTTGTAATTATATTATATTTCCAGGTCTAGAGATATAGCTCAGTGATAAAGTACTTTCCCAACATGCATAAGGCACTGGGTTTGAATTCCCAGTACCACAAAAATAAAAAATTAATATTTAGTATTTTTAGTTAATGAAGTTCTTACAACCTTCTTTTAACTGGAAGAAATATAAAATGGGAATTATAGTAACTTTTTAAATTAATAAAAGCAATAGGCATTTGAAGATTAAGTACAGAACTTGAGTCTTTGAAACCTCATTGTTTTGGCACCTGTCCCTCGGTTGAATTAGGATTGCATTTAGCTACACAGAAGTAAATCTAATAACAGTTGTGCAACAAGTGAGGGTGTTTCTATTTATCACCAAATAGGAAGGCTGAAAAAAATAGGGGTGGTTCACTAATGTCAAGGACCTGACTCTTCTCTTCACTTTTTTTGTTTGAAGGTGGCTTTTTATTTGCATGCACAGAAAGATGGGTCTCCCATTTACTGTGATAGTGTTTCTAAGCAAGAAAAAAGGGCAAAAGAGGAAAAAATATCCCAAATACACTATGTATTTGAAGGCTTGTTCATTAACTGTGTTTCATAACATTGACTGAATGTCACATTGTACCATTAATTATAAACAGAACCTGCTACTCCAAAGAGAATTTTGAACCTTAATAAAGTAAACGAAGAGGAAATTTATAAGCAAATAGAGTCACATTCTTGGGCCTTGGTTTCCAGATCTACTTATACCAGGGGAATAGTTCAGAGTATTCCTGTAAGAAATAATACCCCTTATTAGGATCTTGCAATTATTTAGTATTTTTAGGACTGGGATTTTCATATTAGGGTTAATAAAATGTCCATTTTCAGAAATCTTTATTCTATAATAGTATGTATCCCCTTACAGTCTTACCCAGTTTAAAATAAAGAAGGCAGAAGTTTATCATAGTTAAAGTTGATTCAAAAAGTGTCTCTGTAAGTTAGTAATGTAATGGGGCTGACTTACTCAGTGTGCTAGAACATGAAAGTGCTTGCCAGTTAGCAAACACTCTGAAAGAATCATAACACCCATAAGTATGTGTGTGTTGACCTTCCATTCCTGGATGGAACATTGCTTTGCCTAGGCCCTCCTTTTGGAATGTTATTTTCAGACCCAGAGTATTGGCAATACTTTACAACTTATACCAATTGTAAAATACTGTATGTTTACATAAATTCAGCTCTGTGTTATGTTATAAGTAGAGCTGATCAAAAATCTTATCAGACTTAATTATTAATTCCTTGAGTTTGGAATTCTTAGAAGAGAAATACTTGAATACTTAAATGAAGGTGTAAGTGTATTAGTGTAGTGGAAATTGTAGTTATTAAAAATAAGTTATCAGAAGTTTGTGTAGAAAAGTATGAACAACTTTTTATTTCCTACCAGGTCTTTTAGCATAACCAAACAAATAAAATTAACATTCTGTAGCTGCAATTTTGCCTCCTTATCAGTAATTTACATTTACCTACTACCTTTTTGAAATTTGTCCATATAAGTACTACAGATGAATGCATTGAGTTTATGTAATTTGAAGTACATTTTTCAAAATATTGATTTATTAATTCTTGTATAAAATTATTCTGATAGTATCTGCTGAGATGTGCTGTTTTATTTTCTTATACAATACTGACCTCTAGAGATACCTCATTGTAAGTTCACTTAGTAAAACTTTTCAAATATTTATAAAAAAGAATTCAGAGGATTTTTGAATTTTTTTCCCTTCCACAGTTTTTGCTTTTATTATGAATAATTTCAAATGTAAAATTAAAGTAAGTACTCATATACATCATCTAGATTCACCAGTGTGAATCTAGATTCATCATCTAGATTCACATGTGTTTGCTGGGTTTGGGGGTTGTTTTTTTTTTTGGGGGGGGGTTGACTTGTGTTCTTTGAAGACAATTACAAGAATTATAACATTTTACCCCTATATATTTCAGTTTGCATCTCTAAAAATTAAGGACATTTTTCTACTTTGCTATAATAAAATTAACAATTATTCTTTCATGATCTCCAGTATTCACATTTCACTAGTTGTTCCCTAAAGAGGATTTTATAGCTGCTTACTTCAAACCAAGATCTAGTCAAGTGACAAACACTACCTTTACTTGTTGGGTTATTTAGTCCTCTTAATCTAGAGCAACCTTCAGGTCCTGTTACTGCAAAGACATTGACTTGTTGAGGAGACCAAATCATTTCTCCTATAGAATATCCTTTTAGATGTATCTCATTGTTCCTAAGGGTACATTGAACTTCTTTATTTTTACATTATCTTTTTCATATAAAGTGCACATTAGACCTGAAGCCTTCATTGGATTGGTTATACATTTTTGTCAAGAATATTGTGTTTTTGCTTCATGTACTTCTGTATCATATTATATGACATGTAGTGTACGTTTGTCTCAATATTAATGATGCTCAGATGGTTAAAGTGGTCATAACTAGAGCTCTTAATAATTTGAAGATCTATTAAGGGTGTTACCAAAGAGATTTTCTAATTCTGTTGTTTTTTCTACACGTATTATTGAGAACTTTTTCCATTTCCTGAAATGTATTTTCTTCTAAAAAGGCAGGAAAAATGTTTAACTTTTCTCCTTTATTTATAGTTTTAAACTAAAGAATTTGGGTAGAAACCATCTTCATTTGGAGAAATATATTTTAGGGAAGAAAACACTTTCTGTTTTTTGAAAATAGCCTTTTTATCTCATGAATTTTCGTATAGTCAATATGATTCAAACAGCTTCAGTTATTATTTTTAAGCTGAGTGTGTTTTGTTTCTCACTTTGATTATTAGGGTACCATTTTTATATCCCTTTTTCTTCATATACTATTATATGATCTTTTTCTGTAGATATTATCTATAAATTTTCAACTGTAAGCAAAAATTAAACAGGCTTATTTGAGCATCTTGACTGCCATCCTATTTTAGTCATAGTCATTCATTTCTTTTCTTTTCTTTTTTTGTCTAGGTTTTACTGTTACCCAGGTCTGGGTTTTATGATCCTCCTCTCCTGCCTCTGATTCTTAAATAGCTGGGATTATAGGCTTGTGCCACCAATCCCCACTATCCCATCTTTCTTCCAGTTACTTTTAAACTCTGGGAAACTGTCAGCAATCAATTATGAGATGACATTTATGGACCTTTACTCTTTAGTCTTATAACCATCTTTGGTGTCCTCAGCCATAGCTAACATTTATCCAGTGACAGCCAAGAGTGCTTCTGCTAAGAATTTCTCAGTCATGCCTTGGTTGGCTGAATCTTGTACTCTTATAGATTACTTCAAAAGAGCTAGCTCAAGGGTATAATATTACTAAATATGTTTTAAGAACTTTCTCTATAGCCTGATACCTGAAAGACTCTACTATTTTTACAGTCTTTGGTTTGCCCTGTATACACTACCTACATAGTGTCTTAGGGCTGTCGTAGGAAATTACTACAAACGGGGTGGTCTGAAATGACAGAAACTTAATCTGTCCAAGTTCAGGAGGCCAGAAGTTTAATAACAAGAAATCAGCAGAATCATTCTCTTTTGGTAGAGTAGAGGGGAAATTCCTTGCTTTCCTCGTCCACCTTCAAGTGACTCCAGACTTCCTTGGCATGTCATGTTAGATGGTTGTATAATTTTCCTCTACTTCATGGAAATTTTCAAGCCATCTGAAATATTTTAATCTGCATTTTCTATATTTTTCAGTGGACATTGCAGTTTCTTTCTCATTTGTATTTGGGACAGGTACCTTGGTACTGATGGAAGAAAGGTGACAGGACAGGAATTTGGGTGATTTTTAGTACAGGAGCTTTCTTTTCTGATAACATGAAGAAGACTTCATAGGCACTCTTGAAATTGCTTTCAGACTTATTTTTTTCTTGCTTGATCTTGTTTCAGGAAGACCTTTCTTCAACCCCTTCCCTCCTTAGCTTTAGCTGCCATCTTCGAAATCCCAAAAGATACCTTATGTCATCATTTTCTCCTTCCTCCCAGGGCATTCTCAGGACTACATGCCTAGTCCTGTGTCTTCTCCAAGCCTTTTCTTAGTGCTTTATTGTTTCAGGCCTGCTTTCATTAATTCCCATTTCAAATGGGAACTTTTCTTTCTGAGAAGGACTTCTGGCACATATTAACCTGAGTTCTACCACCACTGAAAATTCTCCAGCCTCTTAACACCTCTGTGAAGCTCCTATGCATCCCCACATTCCAGGGCTTATTCTGTTGATCATTGGTCTTTATTTCCCAGCTTTCTCATACATGCATGCTTGTAGTTTTCCTCAACTTTGTACTTGTAGATTATGGGTGTATTTGCTGTCCTTGTGGCTATGTATGTTTCTTTGAAGGAGGTGTGAGAAGAGTCCAGGAGACTGCTTATCATCATTGTGAAACTCAGAAATGTAGATTCTGCTAGTTATGTTTTTTATTTTTATTTTTTCTGTAGCTAGGAATAAGCTGGTAATGCACCTATTTACATTACTAGCCATAATGGACTATATTTTGTCCTATAGGGAGTGAATGCTAAAACAGCAATCTACTTGGATAATTATCAGTAAGTTTGTTATCATGCATAGTTTGATACTGAAAAAAAAACTTCCAAACCAATAAAAACATCTCAAGCAATCAAACATCTCAAGCAATCTCTGGGGCCCCCTTTCCCTTTTAAAATTTTGTTCTTTTTTGAAATCTAAATCTTTTTTTTTTTGTACTAGGGATTGAACCCATCGGTGCTCAACCAACTGGGCCACATCTTCACCCCTTATTTCTTAAGACAGGGTCTATCTAAGTTACTTGTGGCCTAGCTAAGTTACTGAGCTGGCTTTGAACTTATGGTCCTCCTGCCTCAGCCTCCTGAGCCATTGAGATTACAGGCATGCACTACCAAAGCCTTTTTCTTTTTATATACCCTGATAAAATAGACATAAACTTGACTCAGTTACCTCTTCAACCATTTTTGTTTATAAAGCTACTTAGGAGAATGAATCAATATGCACATAAATTAATCCATGAATATATCAGAAGTAGAGATGTTTTAGGAGAAAACTGAATTTTAAAATTTGAATTATCCAAGGAAGTTGTATTTTTGTCAGGGTGGGCTTCCCAAAAATCAGACTTAAGATGGAGATTAACATGCAGAATATTTAATAGGGAATGTGTTAGGATCAAATTTATAAAGGGAGGGAAAGAAAGCAGGATGCATGCAGAGGGACGTTGAGTTGCAGTGCAGTTCCAGTAGAGGATCAGCCAGTATCCCACAGGACCACATGGGTTCTTAGGCCAGATATTTAATATCCATTATCTGTGACTGCAGGATTACATGTCCCCCCCCCCTTTTTTTTTTAACTTTGTCTTAGTACATGGCTATTTTGTCATAAAAGACACATAAACCTATTACTTTTGTACTTAGAAAAAGAAGGCATTCTGTTGGGGGCTGGAGGGACTACAAGTAATTTTATAGAATAGGATGTTTTTTAGTTACCTGGTACTTTGAATTCCAAAGGATATATCTTTTGGTTTTAAAGTTTCAGTACTATTAATGGGTATTGTATTTGCTTTTCAGCTTGGGCAATGGTAGATGGTGGCTCAAATGTGAAAGCCCGCTCTTCTTACAGTGAAAAGACCCCTAAGATCATCGTGTCTCGCTCCCATTCAGGGATGGTAAAACAGGTTGCTCTTCAGACATTTGGAAACCAGACTGCAATCATCCCAGCTGGTGGTGCTGGTATGTTCCCCCTCCTGTGATTCCCAAGAGTGCTCCTAGATTGGGCAATTCTATGTCCTATACTGGGAAAGAAAATGAGAAGGAACAGTATACTTTCAGGGTAGGCTCAGTTTCCTACTTGGTAATCTCTAGGGTAGACTTTAGTGACGTTCGTCTTGTCTAGAAGAAATAGTCCCATAATAGCTTCTCTTCCTCAAATACTACATGAGTATCTTCCCACCAGTGATGTGCCATCAGTGGTTGCTTTTTGTATGATCTGACTTCAAAATAATTATTCTGTTGATTAAACAGGAAAGGAGAAAATATCAAGGTCTTCAGATGCTTCATCCTAAGTATTGTTAGAAACATCAATCCCAGAGTCAATTTTTTGGTTTAATATTTATTTTTTTAGGTGTAGATGGACACAACACAATGCCTTTTTATTTTTATGTGGTGCTGAGGATCGAACCCAGGTCCCGCCCGTGCTAGGCGAGCGCTTTACCGCTGAGCCACAATCCCTGCCCCCTGAGTCAATTTTAACAGCCCTAAACTTTTCAACTTGCTTGTTTGGGATGAGAGATAGAGTCTAGCGCCATCCAGCTTGCAGTGTATTCCATACTGTTATGTGAGTATAGAGCAGAGGTCAGCCTACGTTTTCTGAAAAGGGCCAGATAGTAACATTTCAAAACTTAGGAGCTACATGTGTATGTCTGTCTTATACTATTCTTTGACTTTTTTTAAAGCCAACTTTAAAAATATTTTTTAAAAATTATTTTGAGATGTGTACAAAACCAGACCACAATCTGGATTTGGCTCAAGGGACTATTTGATGACTTTCGTTATAAGTACTACTTAACATATCAGAAATATTTTAATTCGGGTAAATAGCAAATTGTTGTCAGAAAATATTTGTGTTGGAATACCTTTTCAGCAAATTAATAAAGAGAGAAATGATTCTTTTTAACTCTTAAGCCTAATGGTTTTAATTTGTCAAATGCATGTAACTGATTTCTTTAATATTTACGTTCAGCCTCTCTTTTAGGCTGATTAGGAAATGTAATGTCCAAAATATACCTAGTAAGAATGAGATAAACTAGATTCTAGATGTGGTTTTTTCTGCATTTGTTTTATTTATTTTTTCTTCTTTAAATTTGGCCTCATTAAACAAAGGATTTAGGGTAGAAATGTTACTTTTTGTTCCCTGAAATCAGGTCTACCTTGGTGTTTAACTGAAATGTATAAGTGTTTAGCTATAGTATAATATGTCATTCCATAGAAAATGGAATACTGAATGTGTCATTCCATAGAAAACAAGCATAAAGATTTAAAATTTAAAAGTATAGGCATGTTTTTGGTTATACATGAGACTAGCTTAGTAAGTTATTTTGTAGTATTTTGTTCCTCTGTGGAGTTTAATGTTTGTACTCTTACTTGGGAAAATATTTTTTATTTGGAAATAATTTTAGACTTGAGCAGTTGAAAACACAGTATAGTCATGTTCTGTATACCCTGTTCTATTCTTTTCAACAGTGCACTTAATCAAAAATATACACTACTTTCTTAAAATCTTTTAAACAATAACTTAAATTCTGTGTTTATCTTTTAGGTTACAAAGTTTTAGCACTCTTGGATGTGCCTGATAAGACTCAAGAAAAAGCTGATCTATATATCCATGTGACATACATCAAAAAGTGGGATATATGTGCTGGCAATGCCATCTTAAAAGCCCTTGGAGGGCATATGACCACTCTGAGTGGTGAAGAAATCAGTTACACTGGGTCAGATGGAATTGAAGGGGGACTCCTTGCTAGTATCAAAATGAACCACCAGGCTCTGGTTAGAAAACTCCCAGATCTTGAAAAGACAGGACATAAGTAAGCGTCACTGATTACAGAGTGCAACTGCTCTTCCAGAGCTGACATGGTTATGCCTGAAATGCTGGAAGCTTCAAAGGACTGGTGGAGACTATGCATGGTTAAGGCCATCTTGAACCTTTTTAAGTATTTATGAAGCATCAAGGACTTATTTTCCCTGTAATAGGATGCAGAATCAGGGAAAATGGGTTGCTTCGTGTCTCAAGTATTGTCTTTATTTTTGAGACTATTTTCGTACAGTTGTCATACACAAGGCGCATATATATATTTGTGAATTAAAATCTATAGCTGAGTCTACATTGTTATAAGTCAACCATTTTCACACAACATCATGAATCTTCACTATTTGTTAATACTTTCACACAGAATTGGGTTGAAGGAAGGATTGATTTTTGTGTAAGTGTTTAATATAACTTTACAATTATTATCTTATTGAAAATATAATAACTGGGAATTTTTACTCCTGATTTGGATGGAAAGCACAAAAGCTACACATTCATTAATACGCAACAAATGCTCTGTTCATCTGTTACTGAATATTTCTATGATGAAAATAGAAAAAGCTTAAAATGTTTTTTTTCTTTGAAATTTTAATAACAGGTTCACCAGCTAGTAGAAAATATAGATATATGATGGTTTGCATTCTAATTGTAATTTTCTGTGTGTGTGGTTTGTTTTGTTTTTTATAAAGAAAAGTGTGTATGTGTACACCCATGGGTTCAACATTTCTACCATCTTGCTGTTGATTTTCATTTTCCCTATGAAAGATGCATGATTCCATCCTTTTCCTCCCGACTGGTATTTAGTCTTTAACTTGTAAGGTTTGGCTTGGGGTTTTAGGGTTAGCATTATTATTTTGATACATTATCTCATTAGGGATAAAATAATGCTGTAAGACACTAAGAATATAAATGATTCTGTTATAATGGAAAGTTATTTGGTATTACATGGATTAAATTAGTTTTTGTTATTTTCAGGAACTTTGTTTTAGTGAGTTTTAAAAATTTTGCCAGGTTTATATAAAGGGATTCATTGTCAGGAATGAGTACAGTTGATTTTGCCATGGTTGCTTTTTCTATTAATAAATTATTACCTAACCTAACCAAATTCTCATACTAGTAACTTTTGAGATACTCTATATTCCCTTCAAATTGCAGTAATGAAAGTTAAAGTTACCTTTTGATGAAATTTTTCTTCTATTCAGGCAGCAGAATATGGTTGGGGAAAAAAGTTGTGACATTTATTTTGTTGCCAAACTACAGCCTTTATGAGCAATCTTTCATTGGGATGTATGGTTTCTCTCAGCGTGATATCCAGACAATTTATGTAAAGAATCACAATTATTTCATGTGGCTTCAATGCCTTTATATTCCATAGCAATGATAAGGAGAGGGATTTTTCATGCTTGCTTTCTTCTTCTTCTTCTTCTTCTTCTTCTTCTTTCTTCTTTCTTCTTTCTTCTTTCTTCTTCATTTAATCTTAAAAAAAAAAGTTTCCTATTTATTTTCCTATCTTGGAGGTAAATTGAACCACAGAATGTACATTCTAAACTGGTAGAATGTTCATACTTTAGGTTTGCATAGTACACTGTACAGAGCCCTTTGATTCCTTTTAAGTGAACTGAATCTAGTGTGTGATGTTTCCATTCAGTATCTATTAGTCACAAATCCATTAAGTAGGCTTTTTGTTCAATGAAAATTCAAAGTTGTGGTGGTCGGAACACTTGAATTTAAATAGGACTTCAGAATTTGCAAAGGAATATCAGAAACCTCATCTGTTTACTTCATGTAAGATAAGGGAATTCTTTGTTCTCCAGAGAGATGGCAAAGGCATATGCCATTACCAGAATCCTGTGGTATAAGCATTTCTTTAATATGTCAGGGAAATGACTGGCAAATAGGAAATTGAATTTAATTGGTGGTTTTTAAAAATATTATGTGGAAACTTCATAACTTAATGAAAACTAGTTCACATTAGCAAGCATGATTGCTTTAGTTTTATTTTTAATTCCATTAATCTACATAGCTAGGATGTGAAGGATGTGTGTTGTGTGCAAAATTAAGGTATTGGCTGAGAGTTAAATACATTATTTTTATAATTTGTTGGATATAGTCTAGTTACTAAGGATTTTTAAGTACTTTTATAGAAAATTCATTTTTTAAATTTTATTTCTAAGAGCCAATATACATTACAAGCAACAGTATTTATATTTATTTATATGAGGCATTATTATGCCCAGACATACTAATAAATTACTTTCATGAGTGAGGCATACAATATCATTTCTAAAACATAGCAAAACAAGTAGTTTCCTTTTAGTGACTCCTACCTGCCCAACTCCGGGTCTTCTCTTTCCTTCATCTTTGCCCTTACATTGAGGATAGTTTTCTTTTAAGGCTGAGTTTTATACATCATGTCAGTAGAAGTGGTGATGTTAGTATTCATTGGCTGGCCCTCTCCTCTGCCCCTCTTCATCTCTACCTTATTACCTGTTTGCCTTGCCCATTAATGTTCTCATGTCTGCTTCTCTTCCTTAGCCAGGATACATACTCCCATGCTCATTTTCCAAATTTTCTTTTATGTACCCCTTTCTCTCCAGATTGGCTGCTAAAATCTTTGGTAAAACTGAGGCTCTGGTCAAGTTCCCAGTGAGGGAGATAATCCTGGCCTAGGTAACCATTACTTTTCAAACTGCACAAAAAGTGTAAATGAAAATCACTTTCAAAGCTACAAACTTTCATGCTGTCAAATCTAATCGAATACAAAAGTCTTTACAAAACATTTCTTCCAACCCATCTCTCAGGAATGTCAACAAAAAATATGAGAAAATGGGATAGATAAAAGCCTTCTTAAGGAAACCTGCTTTTTCTGTTGGTTACCATACTTGTATTCCCCATTTCAGTTGAGTTTACAAGGGCCTACAAGATGGTCATGTTTGTCTTTAGTGTATAATTTTCTGTTCCCCCAATTTTAGTGTTTGTTTCTAATTTTAAATCAGTTGTATGCAAGTGAATTATTTATGGTGTCTAATGAAGTAACAGCAACATTTTGGTTTTGTGTGTTTTAAGTAACAGTTGTGCAAATTATTTCTGTTTGCTGGGTGCTCCCTTTGGGTATTTTGCAAATTGTGTCAGAGGAGGTGGAACAGGAACAATAGCTGAAAATAGGGTAGGATGGAAAATGAGGGGAAGGGCAGCTGAAGGAGATGCAGAGCAAAAATCTGCCCTGAATGCTACAGTCAGCAACTCTGCTCAAGTCTCTTATGTTAATTTCAAAAACAGGGTTTCACTCAGACTGTGAAGGTTACAACTATATCTGATAGTCCAAGTGTAAGTAAAGAAAAGTGGGGTACACTACAGAAAATAATCAGCTTTTCCTCTCTTGAGTAACACCTTTGAAGATGGACTTCCTGAGACAATGTGATAGGTCAAAACAGGAACTGTTTTGGATTCTTCTAGATGCAACTGCCTATTGTGATTATGTATTGATTGTTCCTAGATAGAAATGTGACTTAATTTTAGATCTTGGTTGAATTTAAACTGTATTTAATTATATACTTTACAGAAGTGTGTCTTATATAACTGTTGTGTAAAATAAACCTCATCTGTGATTTCAGTTTTGTTCTAAAAAAGTTGTGCCTTAATAATAGGGCATTGTATGTTAATAAGGGAAAACAAAATCTTTTTTTTTAGTTGATGGGAAAAATAGGAATTTTTTTGCCATTAAAATTTAAGTTCTTTTAATGTTTTTAATATTAGAGTTGGGGGAAATTCATTGAAATTAAATAAAATTGATATAAAATTATTTTTACATAATCTAGCATTTACAACTAAATACATTTTATAAGAACTGGCATCTTGATGTATATAGGTCTGAAATGATATTTCATCTTTTGATTTTTAATTTAATAAAGACCAGGGTAGATCACATTTTTACAGATTTACTTTTAAATAAACCATTTCCATGTGCTAATACATCTGTTCTCCTAGTTCTCTAGAGTCATTTTGGTTAAGAAATAGTTATATATTCATGGTAGCTTCTCCATCATTCATTAATATCAATTAATATTGTATGTTTTATAGCATAATAAATACTTCCTAAGGGGTACAGGTTTCTAATTCTGATCAGCCATTATTGAGAGAGCAAGAAGAATCAAACTCTATACTTAAGAAGTAGATTTTGGTTTTATGAGATGCTGGTTATGTAAATTGTGTATTTTTATCTCATCAAAGCCCGGCAGGTATATGCTTTTGAATTTACCATTGGCAAAGCATTTCTTTATTTTGGAAGTTGAGTAGTGAATTAGTTTTGTTGAAAAATATTTTCCTTTCAGTTAAACAGACCAAACTTGTAGATGTTAAGGATCATGAATATACTAACACAGTGTTATATATTTTGTTTGTGAGAGTTCCCTAAAGTATTATAATTAATGTAATTTGTGTACATTGCAAAAGGAGAAACTAGTGTTTGATTAATATGTTCCATTAAAATTCTTTTTGCAGAGCAATACACATAATGAATTTTTATTCAGAATTTTTTTAAAATAGGAAAGCATAAGTCATCATGAGATAAGTTAACCCATGAAAAGATTTTATCTTCCCAAATTATCTTTGTCACCAAGTAGTGTTAAGGAGGGAACATTTATGGACTTAATTTTTGTATATCCTTACTGTCCTTTCCTGGCGTAGCCAAAGCCCATTCTTTTATTCTCATGAAAGAATCCCTGTTCTTCAGGGGTTCCGCTTCTTCAGGATGAATAACAGTGCTGTCTGGGCTTGCTTCTTTCTTTTGACATTAACTTGAGCAACTACAGGTACATACCCAGGGTTTGGATTTACACTGAAGTTATGACTTTTTCCTGTATCCCCACCTTTCCAAACTGATTTCTTGTCATCCTCACTTCTGTTACTCTGTTTCTTAAAAATGGGTCAACAATGATGAAAAAAATTAAAATGAAAATACCTTTGTAAACTCCTTCCTCTTTCACACATTTAAAGCCATGGCAAAGCTATACCTTTTCCCGTTGTGTAGACATGCTGGGCCAACAGTTTTCTTAGCGTTCTTGACTGCCTCACACCACCAAATTTAAGTGGGTTTCAGCTTCAACCTTTACAGGAAATAAAACTCTCCTCCCTCCATGGCTTTACCGCAGTTTTTTTGTACCTCGCCTATAGCAACTTAACAGTAAACTTAGGGATTGCATTGTGGTTTTACTTCCAACTCCCAGATAGCCCAGTAGCTTGCACAATTAATAGGTGCTTAGTGTGTTTTGAACCAAATTAACTAAAGGGTTACCGCTAGCATTAGCATGCTTCATGCCACGGTTGTATAAGCTGGTTAATGGTTTATTTTCTTTACAAATACTATGATTATCACTACACACACACTCAAATTATTTTTTAAAGTTTTGCATTTTCTCCAGATACTATCCCATGGTCAATTAACTGTAGAAAACTTGATTGCTTCCAATGACATAATTATCCCAAACTCTGTCCCTGGATATACTTTACCAAATGAAATTTGAATTCTCTGAATAAATTGGTCATGTCTGAAAGAATTGGTGTGCTGCATCTGCTTGCTTACTTATTTTTTTTTTTTTACTTTTTTGTATGAAAACGTAATAATGTTCCATTTTAACCGCTTTCAGGTGTGCAATTGAGTGGCATTAAGTACATTCACGATATTGTGTGATCCTTACCACTACCCTGGTTACTGGTCATCTTTTTGGAAAATACGTTTTTGATTTCATGGACTGTTACAGATCACCTCCATGATTTTCTTTTGGTGATTCTGTTGCTGTTCTTTACATATGTCCTGATGTAGGGGAGAAATGATTTTCTGTTCCTTAAAGCCAACATAAGTTAACAGCATCATTTGCTGCTCTGCTCTTAACAAAATAAAAGAATATAGTCTCTTGCATTGGAGCAGTTTTGTCATGGATTATGTAAAAGCATGTGGCACCTACAAGAGTCCAGGTCAAGAAAGACAAGACAGTAAAAGGAACATAGAAGAGCACAGTGGATAAAATTTGAGAAGAGTGTGAAGTGTGCAAATAGGTAAGGAGTCAGGTTATGTGCATCAGGATGGCCAACAATAGTACAATGTTT